CCGCGCGGTCCTGTTTCATCCATCGTCCGTGGATGCCCCACCGTGCCAGGTAGACCTTGCAAATGTCGTAGTTCATGGCCGGAGTAATACAAAAGATCCAGAACCAGCAACATCAGCACGAAGAAGCCGTAGATCCAGACTCCCAGCAAGCGGTGTAATTGCTGGGAACAGAGAGGGTCGCGTGAGGGGTTGATCAGGGGCACGGCACAGGGAGGGGGGCCGGCCCCCCTGCAGGGCGGCGTCCTGGCTCCTCTCTCTGCCTGCCCTGTGTGCCTCCTTCCCTGGACCGCCCCTGCCCCCAGCACCCCTGGCCGGCCACCCACGGGTCCACACTGTGGCCACTTGGGAGGAACTCTGACTGGCCTTTGGGGCTCCCACGACGTGGCAGCTCGTGCCCGCACCCCCTGCCTCCCCCAGCACGGAGGTCTGCTGTCACCTGCCCCTGTCTCCCATGGGTGCCCCTGCTCGACCCCCCTCCCCTCCGGCCTCTGCTCACGCTGTTCCTGCCACCTGGCCGCTGTCCACGCCAGCCCGCCTTGCCTTCCCCTGCAAGCTCCTTCCATCTTCCCCTCCCGTCCCTCCATCCTCGCTCCGCTTGGGGTCCCCTCCACTTGTGCATGACCCCGGATCATTCTTCTTATCTTCACGCATCCTGGCCCACTGTTGGCTGCCCCCTGCTCCCCCGGCCAGAAGCAACAAAAGCCACTGGAGAGTTGGTTGCAGACCTTCCCAGGCCACGTGAAGGCCCCAGCTCTCCTGAGCGAAGCTGACTCTTTGCAGAAGCGCATGCTCTGCCAGCTCCCGGCGCCGGGCCTTTGCACGGGCCGTGGCTTGCTGCCAGGCAGCCCTTCCTTTCCAGCCCAGCTCCCGTAGCCCCTGCTGGGGACCGCTCCTCCAGGAAGCTTCCGACACCCTTTCCCCTACACGCTGGGTCAACCCCTTCTCCGGCCCACGTCCTAGGTGCCCCTCAAGCCAGCCCCACCGCCCCAGGCCCCCGGCTGGAGTCTGGCCTGCCCCACCCTGTGCCCAGCGGGGCTGCGTTCCGCCTGCCACATAGCTGGGGCTGCCGCGCTCCCAACGGTGCTTGGCCGGCGACGGCGGCTGTTCAAAGGCACAGTTTATTAATCTCTGGCGCCGCCCCCTGTCTGCGGGCATCTGGCCTGCTGGGCGTGCGCGACGGTGGCCAGGGAGGAGCGCTAGGCTGCGCCGGGAGCAGAGCCGGCTCCAGCGTGCGTTGTGCGATGCCCCACGTCCTCGCCCTGCTGGCCTCTCAGGGCAGAGCAGGCCCCAAGACCCCGTGTGAAGCCGGGCAGGAGCCGCAGAGGTTCCGGTCCCTTTGCCTGGCTGCTGCGTGGCCGGGACCCTGCCCTTCGCGCCTGGAGGTGGCGTGTTGGCCTTCCCAGTCTCCGGTCCAGGTTCTGGTCCTTCCCAGGTGGCTCCGGCCCTGGCTCTGGCGGCAGGCGTGGGCTGCTCTCCTGCGGACTCCCCCGGCCCCTCCAGCTGAGGCCAGCCGATCCGGCGTCTCTATCTGGAACGCACCCTCCCTGCCTCCGCTCTGCAAAGTTCTGGCCTGAAGACTGGCGGGCCGGGTATGGCGAGGGGGGTGGGGGTGGAGAGCCTCTGTGTCCCGAGCACTGTATCATGGGCCAGGCGGTGGCGGTGAGTGGCTCAGGGCTCAGTAGTGCTTGAAAGGACAGCAAGCCTGGAGCAGCTCTGCATTCACTGTCAGCCTTGCTGCCTCCTCGGACTCCACTCCCGGGCCACACCTCCATGAGCCCGCCCACAGGTTGATGACCTGCTTCACATAAGGTGTGGTAGCTGACAGCAGCCCCAGGCTGCCTTTTAAAGGAGAGATAGCTGCCACCGGGCATGTGGATATGTTCCTTCTGGGGAAGAGGCAGTGGCCTCAACCCAGCGTTGCTCGCGGCGGGCTGTGCCAGGTGTTGTCCCTGCAGACGAGGGGTGGCCGAACTCCGGGCCTCCCCCAGCAGGGCCTCCCTCCTGCAGCCGCACGGAGCTGCTCCAAGGCCAGGCTCTTCCTCGGAGTGGTTCACGTGCAGCAGGGCTCGGGCGGGGGAGGGGCCACTGGTGAGATGCTGTCTGGCCGAAGACTCCAGAGCCAGCTGGGGGGTGTGGTGGGCTGGAACCACTGACCAGAGAGTCCAGTACCAGAGCCACCAGGACCTGGCCCCTCACCTGCTTCCACACCTTAGCCACTTATGGCTCACAGCAGCCAACGGAAGGAGATAGCATTTCACCACGGGTCTTTTTACAGACGGACAACGTGGAGGCTCAGAGGAGTTAGCACTTGTCTAAGGCCTCACAGACGTTAAGTGGGCGAGACCGGATTTGAACTTCGGTCAGTGAACCCCCAGAGTGTGAGTTCCTAATCACGACAGGTCACTCATTGGCCAGGCAGGGCTGGCCCAGGTTCTTGGTGGTGGATGGGTGCTCCGGTGGCGCTGACGCCCTTCTCCGCCTGGAGGCCTTGTCACGCTGTCCTCCGCCCAGACTCGGGGGACCCCGCTCGGGGCCCTCGGCCGGGGCAGCCGGCCCCGCAGCCGCCCCCGGGCCCCCTGCCGCCAGCCCCCCAGGCCGTGCACACGCTGCAGGGAGACCCCCACAGCACGCCGCTGGTGGCCTTCCAGAGTTCGTCTGCCTGGTGAGTGGCTGCCGCGCGGGGCCCAGAGCGGTGTGGGCCGTTGCCCCTGGCAAGCTCGGAAAGCGCCCGATCATTCTCGCTGCTTCGTTTGGCCCTCTGGTTTCCTGATTATTTGCTCATCCTATTGTCGGTCGGCCAGGAAGGGTTTGAAGCTGCCGTGGCGGCAGCGTGTGGCGTGTGCGTGGGCGGGAACGTCAACGTGAGAGGTGGCAAAAGAGCTGGCGAGCAAAGCCTGCAAGCCCGCTGCTGCACTTAGAGCCTTACTGCCGCTGAGCATGAAGCGGAGTTTTGAGTTTCCCAGCTGCCAAGGCAAAAGGGGAAATTGGACGGCTTTCCAAGTTTCCATAGTCTGGTCAAAGGGAGCAAATCAGTCTGTCTGGGCTGGGGAAAATTTTTCAGCATGAGCTTATAAAATAAACTTACTACTTGGCTCCTTCCCTGTGCATGTCTTGAGTCACATAAGGGCATCTGAGGTGACTCAGGCAGGCCGTTTAGTGATAGTTCAGGGGAAGGGAAGCAAGCCGGCGAGAGAGGTCGGCAATCAGGGGCCTGGCCCTGTGGGGCGGCTGCTCCAGCTCAGCCCAGTCACCCTGGCCAACGGGCGTGTGGGTCTGGCTTCATCTCCTGCAACCCCCATTTCTACCCGGCTCCAGTGTGGTCGGGGTGGGGCGTGACCGACCCCTGGGCAGCGCGGCATCCACTGCTGGAGGGGGAGGGGAGCAGGAACCCACCGCGAGCTGGCCAGCACCCAGGACAGGAGGCAGACGCGGTGTCGATTCCCAAGTCAAGGGGTTGAGTGTGGGGTTCAGACATTCTGTGGGGACTGAGCTGCAGCCACGGCCACACGGGGCTCAGGGACGTCATCCCAGGACGCCATGGTGCTGAGCCCCGGCTGCAATGTCTACCCCAGAGCCCTCCTGCTGGCAGGGTGCACAGTGACCCCTGGGTTCAAGCCCATGTGACCCAGGTTTGAGTCCCAGCTCCCTGGCCTGGGGCACGTAACTTCACCCCTTAACCTTCAGATCCTTGTTGAGGGGCCAAGGTAAGGATGCCCC